GATTACGATTATAATTACTATCAGAAAATCAAACACGTCTAGCGTTATAATATATATGGTTATTGAAAAAAAATTTTTTGCCATTCGACTTCACAGACAATCGGCCATTTTTTTTTTTTTTTGTTTTTGAAATGTAATTGTTTATTCCCAAAATTTAGTGTTTACAGCTTAGTATTAAACAAATACAAAAAAATACCTTAAATTTTATTATAAAAATTGGCCGGAATGGTCGTGACGGACACTCGCCGACTGACAACTTTGTTTGTATGGTGGTTATTGACATATATGATTATATATGATTTTATAATATTATAAATTGAAATGAAATATCTTAGAAGATGGGGATGCAAACTAGGATTTTTGAATATAATGAAAAGTACTAAGGTCAATGGGGGTATATTCGCTCATGTACCTATATTCGCTCACTTTTATGATCAATCAATTATATTAATTTTTAAAGTAAGTAAAATGAAGAAAAAAAAATATAGGCTTATAAATAAACATTTCGAGATGTACACCCAATATTTATATACTTAAATTAAGTTATACAATTTTAGAAAAAAAATCAATTCGCAATCAAGTTTTGCCACACGAGTTATAACTACGGGCATCTTAAGAACTAGGCTAAGATATGAGCAATTTTATTTTACTTTACTGTGCTTTAAAATAAATCATATCGTTAATGTTAATGTTTTATCTGATTCAAAACATGTTTATTAATGTATCTGTACATTAATTATTATTTTTTTTGTCAATATTCTTTATTAATTTAGCTGAGCGAGAATTGGTACACTAATATCTACATTGTCGGTATTTTCGCTCACCTCGTTTCGCGTGCAAATTTCACAGCTGACAGGTCAACATAACCCAAGAAGCATAGTAAACACGCGTATGTATCTGTCTTATCTCTCCTTTTTTGATTGTAATATTACTATAATAATAGTAATTTTAAGATTAAACATAATAAAAAGTTCGTTTTTAATTCTAGTAGAAATTAAAATATGTTTGACGCAAATTTATAGGTGGGCGAAAATGTGAGCAAAAGGTGAGCGAAAATACAAACGGGCATTTTTAGAGTGAGCGAAAATACCAGCACAGGACTCTTAAAGTTTATATTTATTTTTTTATTGTAAATATATCGAAAAATTTTTTTTTTACTGTGCAGTTATTTAGTTTAAGGTATGCTCTATCGTATTAAACAATCAAAAATCTCGATTTTACAATGAATATTTTCTTAAGTGTCATTTTTATTGAAAGTTGGGCTTAAGTGGGCGAATATACCCCCCTTGACCTTAATACTACCATTATTCTAAAAAAACATCTTAAAACTAAAACTCTGTCATATATTATATGATCTCATTATTTTATATCCTTGTCTAAACTGTATCACTTGCAGAATTACAAATAAAAGTACTCGCCATCTAGTGGTTGAGGCTTGAAGTTGTATTATCGTATAAAAAAATAGTCTAATTTTTTGGAAATAGTTAACACGTCGTTTTTAGGTTATGTAAAACATTTTAAATGGTAATTTTTTGGTAATAAAATCCATATTGATGTATTTAATAATTTCATTTAAATAAAAAGATAATATCGCGTTAACTGAAGTAAAATCAAAATAAGGACGGTTGGTGCATAATTGCAAACAAGAATTTTGTTGTAGCTTTGTGACGAAATTCTCACATGAACGCCTCCTATCACCTTTCGAGCTTATGAGAACGTCCAATCGCATCGGCTACACATACACACACCCATAGCGTAGAGTCTCAAGGTTATTACAAAAGCGAGAACTTGCGAAGATTATAAAGCTACTGGGCACACAAATCGGAAAGGCGCGTAAAATTAATGAACTAAGCGAGCAAGTGCCAGTACTGCGGCATCGGGATATCGGCGCACACACACACATACACATATCCAGTAAGAGTAAGTAAAAGAGCGAAAAAGAGTATAGAGAGAAAAAAAAGATAAGAGGTGTACGCAACGCTTGGCAGATATTTTAAGGAAGTTCAAACTTAAGATATTTCGTGCGCTCGAGCCTGGGTTATATATACACATCAGCGTGAAAGCGAAAAAGAGAGAGAGAGAGAGAGAGAGGCAAAAGGTGGCTCGCTCGAAAATGAGAATGAGAGAGAGACGCGCACGAGGGATAACTGCATGACTCCCGCCAGAGCCTCGCTATATGTATAGCGGCGGGGTAGATGATGGTAGCACCGGAGAAAGAAGAGAGAGAGAGAAGAAAGCCAGTACTATACTCCTGTACCATGGGCTGCATCGTGTGCTGCTCCTGTATATGGAGTATATGGGAAGAGTGAGCGAGAGAGAAAACGAGCCGCTCAAGTGTTCATAATGAGATGTTAATGGAGTGCCCGTAAAAAACGCAGGCGTCACGTCACGAGTATCGACAGCTTCTCTCTTTCTCTCTCTCTCTCGTCGCCGTCATCGCGTCTATAACCAATGCAGCAGCAGCAGCTTCCCATATACTCTCTCTTCGTCAAGGCGCGCGCGTACTCGACGACGACTACTACTACTACTACTACAACTACCACGCTTGAAAGTCAAGCCCATCCTTTGCCGATGCCAAAGAATGTCGCGTTCTTCGCAGCAGGAGAAGGAGAAGAAGGAGGAGGAGAAGAGACGACTGAGATAATAGAACACGAAGGAAAAGCCTATACGTATAGGCTGTAGAGGCTCCTTCAGCGAGTATACCCTATACTTTCTTTTGTTTAATCTATTTTGTCGTCTGCAGAACTGCGGCAACGTTCGAGCCGCGCGCCTACCTATATAATATAACCGCTGCAACGAGTTATAATTGAGGGAAAAAAGATGGCGCTCTGTCTCTCTTTCAAACAAAAAAAATCGAATAATTGATCGAGTTTGCAGCTAAGCTCGGCCCGCTCGATCGTTTTACATAATTCGTCCGAATACATTTTTTCGCGACAAGAGATCAGATTTTTCGCGGTCTACTGCCGCAGCTGTGGCTGTGGCTGTTGTTAAAGCGACGAGAAAAATTCATAAGAAATGTACAAGATTCCACTATTATGTTGTATGTATAAGGCGAGCGCAAGCTCTCGGCGTTCGAAATTATTCCACGACCGCTCAAAGCTCGAGCGACGTATACATTATGATACACATTTTATACGATAAATAAAAAAAAATCCGAAAGAGGTTGCATAGAAGAGCGCGAGCTATGCATATAGTAGCATATATATATACTTATACAGGGGGTGAAAACGCATTGCTCATAATGAGTTTTCATTGACTCTTGACTCGAGCTCCGCTTTTATATATAATGGCTTTCGTCCACTAATGGTTTGTGCTCTGCGCGCAGCACCAAACTTTTGTACCAGCCCCGCCGCCGCCGCCCCCGCCGAACTCTACTACTGCTACCACTACTACTACTGTATACTGTACGCGGAGGTGCACCCGCGAGCGCAGACCCCTGCATTATTCAACCACAATAAAGAGAGCACGCGGGAGCAGCGAGATAAAGTGAGAGAGAGAGAGAAAGAAAACAATAATTATGAAAATTGTGCTGACTCGTCCGGTGTAATGGTTAGATTAAGAGCACCGAGAGAAAGAGAAAGAGAGAGAGAGAGAGAGCTTGCACAACTTATACATTCGTGCGCCGCGCGGCTCCTATCCGGCATTACGGTCGCGCTTTCGTACATGCACACATATGTTCGTTCGGCTGCCGAGCATATTTTCTGCATACTCATGCTCGACCACCAACGCCGCCGCCACCGCCACTGCCTCTGTATTTTGTTTTCAAAAATTTTGCACAAGCTTCTACTACTACTACTACTACTACTACCACTACTATAAACGCGGAAAAGCTCGCGAAAACCGGCCTCGTGTATACCTGGCTCTGGAGCTTCCAACAATCTATGATGGAATTCGTGATTTTGTTTATCAGTTTATGCAAAACTGTAATGAAATGTAGGTACACGCGAGAACGAAAACTTTATCAAGTATAGTTCTTGTTACGCGTTTGGCTTGTTCGTACATTCCACATTCTACTGTATTATTTTTTTATTTCTACGATTTTCGATTTAGCATCCAAATTAATTTTTTATTGAAAATTTCGGACAACGAGCCACCAATAAACGATGATGAAAAAAATTGTCGTACTTTTCTCTCTATTTATGCACTTTTTTTGTATAAACGTTACTTCAATCAGATAGCACGCGATGTAATACGAATGCCATCTTATTAGATTAAACCCAAGCACGCCGTGCAACACAGCAGCAGCAGCAGCAGTGCGGTAAACACATTGTCTGAATAAGCAAAACGGAACGCGGTCGGAGAGAGAGAGAGAGAGAGAGGGAGAGAGAAAAGGCTGTGTCGACGACGACTACGACGAACCAGATGGAATCGAGGACAAAAAGGGCTTAATGGGCTCAACCATAATTTGAATTTACCCCTTCGCTCGTGCCAGTGCCTATATGTACGATGTGCAGCAGGCAGCGCGTGTATATACAAGAGGAATAGAGCTCTGGGGTGGCAGTGGGCGAGAGAGAGAGAGAGAGTGAGAGAGAGAGAGATAAATACATCGTTTTCTTGCGCACTCGGTACACTGACTGCAGTTCAGGGCCATCGACTGCCGGAGAGTCAGTAGTTATATACGTGTTTACTGCGAGCTGTGATTGTTCATTCGTTTGGGCGACGTCGGCGACGACGACGACGACACGAGCAAAACCGGATAGACACGAGTCAGCAGCTCACGGTGCAGTTATATACAGTCGCTACAGTATATAATATATGTCGTATATAATGTATACAGTGGCGAATTTATTTTTCTCAAAGACGCGTGGTGTGAATTGTTTCGCTCAGAGCTTTCTCATTCGTGATCCAGTCATTTTAAATTTGTCAGAAAATTATTCGATCCCAATCGAAATCAATCCTATAGCGTCGAGATTTTGTTATCAGAGAATAGAAATAAAATACGAAAAGTGTAATAACTGATGGAAGTCATTTATTTATCGTTTGATAAAAGTGATACATTTTATTTTAGAATAAAAAAAATGGTAGGGCAGACCTTGAAACACGGTAAAAATTACAAGTAGGAATATGCAAAGTTATTATAAACGACATCGTTAAATGGGCTATAAAATATGCGTATTTGACCATTATGCATCGTATTTATGTGGATTTTGAGTTGATATGATGCGATGATTTGACGTGTCGATTAAGATTGCACTTATAGAGAAATTTTTTTCCACATACATCACATGTATGTGTGACACCGTCGTGTACCGCATCGATGTGCGTCTTGAGATGACTTTTTGTTGTTGATTTCATTCCGCATATATTACATGCATGAAAGATACCATTATGCATCGTATTAATGTGACGTGTGAAATTATTTTTCCACGAAAATTTCTTGCCGCACAAATCGCATGTATTAGCAACAATAATACCATTATGCACTAAGTTTATGTGGGTTTTGAGATAATGTCCTTGTGTGAATGTCTTTCCGCAAATATTACATGCATATTTAACACCCTTGTGCGCCGAATTCATATGGGTTTTGAGACTGCCCTTGTGACGAAATGTCTTTTCGCAAATATTACATGAATATTTAACACCCTTGTGCTCCGAATTCGTGTGGTTTATGAGACTGCCCTGGTGACGAAATATCTTTTCACATTTATGACACGGGTAAATAACACTTTTACGCATCGTATCAATGTTTGTTCTCGATTCATTTTCCTTGCCGAAGTCCTGCTCGACATTTGTGATCAATTTTTTTTCGTCATCTTCGAATAATTCTTTTTTCACTTCGCCCACAATTTCTATTTTAATATTGTTTTCGGTATCCCCAATTCTGCTATATTTTATATCCTGCAAATAGTTTTGAGAATAATCGTCAATTTTCTTCAATAGTAATGAGTTCATCTTAAGCTTTTCTTCTTTACATTCGAACTCAATGTCTATTTCGTCGTGTTCATTTTCATGGGTTTTGTTGAATTTTTGAAGCCGAACGGTCTGTAGGGAAAAAGTTAAAGTTTTGTGGAAATTTTTATTACATAACAGTAAAATATCATTCTCGTATAATTAATGGCACTTACTGAATTTTCTTGCAAAAATCTAGAGGACTGATTATTTTGGACACTGAACGAGTCGTCAATTACTTCATGATCATCATTTTCTGTAAAAGATACTTCAAAAGGTTCCTCCTTCACTCTGGAATATATTCGATAAAATTTACTCTTTTGCTAAATTATTTTTAAGCGTTGACTCTCATCAAATGAAAATTACCTCGCAGCAAAGTTGAACTAACCGTGAGATACCATCTTGTTCTCTTCAAATTCAGTATGAAACTAATCTTTCTGTACTCAAGTCAACTTTTAAATCAACTAAACTCGAGTTCAATGATATTTACAAACATGATTTGAAAATTCATCATTTTAAATTCAATGTAAACATAAGAAAACGAAGTTAATTTAACGAAATTTATGTAGAGAAATTTTCCATTTAATGAACAATAATAAACGATGAGTATATAACATAATCAATTTTATCATTTTTATGCACCAAAACGCTTGATAGTCCGCCGAAATAAGCAAGTTGTCGAAGCTTCGTATCGAGATTAAGCATCTCCTGCCTATATCATTTTACGATGAAACGTAGATATCAGATTCAATTGTCGCTCGTATGGCATTAAAAAGTAGACGATCGCGGGGTAGAATTATGAGTCTTCGTCGATATCGATGGTGCATCGGTGCGCCATCTTCGAAAGCTCTCGTAACCTATACGATTTGAGAAAGTGACGATTCTCGCGCGGCTCGATCGGCGGCTTCGTATAAGATTTAGGCTCCTTTATACGACACGAATGAACTGCCACGCGCTCGCTTGCCATTATGTATACACGTGGCTTGCGCTATGTACGCATACGTATGTATGTACGTCGAGGAACAAACTATATAAGGCGAGCTTTTTCCCATCCTCGCTCCCTTTCTCCCTTCTCAGCGACGGTAATAAATTTCCCGGCGAGCAGAGAGTTTCGTGGTCGAATAGAATGAGGCTTAAGTGCGGCTGGAAAGAAAGAGAGACAGACAGAAAGCAAGTAGTAGTAGTGGTAGTAGTCTGGCTAGTATAGCTAGCTGCAGCTAAGCGCGAGCTCGCGCACGACTCTCGACGTTTTTCCAACGTGCACATACAAGCGCGCGCGGCTCTGCTAGCCACTCACACACGGACAGACACAGACTCAGACAACATATATACGTACCTGCTCGGCAGGTTTGCCGCGGTGTTATATATATACTATGTGCGAGGAGAGCACCTCGACTCTCGCGCGTATATACCGAGCTTTGCCTGACCGTGATTCGCAAACTTTTTCCCACCGGGGAGAGAGAAAGAGTGTAGCCGGTATACGTAGCTGCGTGAAAGCCTTGAATTATGAACCCAGCCGCGCGATAAGTGTATACGAGCTGCTGCTCGCGCCCCTCCAGCTCGAATATAGTTGCGTATATACCTATGAAGGCAGCAAAGTTGAAGCCTCGGTTGAAAAGTAACTCTCGTTCTCTGCCGCTGTATACAGGAGATTGACCGGACGGCAGTCTTTTCTTATGTGTGTTGCACCAGTCGTCGACTAAACAGTGGCAACAATTGAAGCGCGATGAGAAGCACATTTCGGTTTCGTGCAGCTATTCCTTGAGATTTCCATGTTATACATTCCTCACGATCTTTATTATATTATTGTACCATATTGTATTGTACATTTTATTATGATACACAACCGATACTCGCATTTTGCACTCGACGCGATCTTAGATTACGAGCTCGCCATATATTAATGACGAATGTTTACGCGATGCATAAATCTTCAAGATTCACAAACACACACACCTGAAAACGTATAACTGTTTGCGAAACTTTCTCGATGCTTCCTCGTACATATACTCGAGCGACTCGTCGCTCGGAGGCGCGATAAGCGTATCTTCGCAATTCAACATGTAGCTTCGCAACGTATATAACATAAACGCAACGACGCGGCGAGTGTAATGAGTAAAAAGAAAAGAAGAAAATATATAACGCCGACTCGCTTGCTCGCTTGCGCTAGCCTGCTTCCGGTATAAAGAATGAATATAAGTTTTAATGATATACTCATAACGCGCCGCTGTCAAAAAGCTCGCGCTTGTGCACTGCTCTCTCTCTATATATATATTGCACTAGCGATACGCTAAACTTTTGTATTAATTGTAGCATATTATACGAGCTATAGATATAGATACGTGCGGGGGAGAGGGGCTGGCGGCAGCGGCGTTGGTGGTGGACTAGGGGGCGAAAAAGTTGGCCGCAAAACAGTGTATAAAGCGCCGAGGAGCGGAAGGAAAAAATGCACAAAAACATAATGCATCCTATACGTGTATAATAATAATCAGAGTAATGAAAAAATTAATAATAATAATAAGAAACGGACCGGCGGTGTGCAGAAACGAAAAATCACGCGAGTGCGCAATATAGATTATGATGTGTAATGTACGCGAGCGCAGTAGTAGGGCACGCGCTAGGACGGAGAAAAATAAAAACGAACTAAGTACGCAGCTGATGAGACGCTGCGTGAAAATAATTATGTACGAGAATGTCATCAAAAATCATATTCATAACTTCAAAATCCCTAAATTATCAAAAAATAGTCCAAAGGCCAAAAAATAAACATGTTCGTATCCAGCGATTAGGCCAATGTTGTAATATGTTCATCGATACATCAAATTTCAACTTCTGATAAATTTTCGTCATCGGCAGACTAACAGACCTTATCATTCAGCTAGATACACGAATACTATCGAGTACTCGTTCGCATCCCAATACTTGATACTTCTCGCTTGATTCTCCAATCTGCTGCTTATTACACGTAAAATAGAGCTCACTGCACGTTTGGATCGCCTTCGTTATATGCAACACACACACATATATAGTGTGCTCGTCTGTAAAGTAGGCTGCTGCTGTACCTCCTGCATATAGCTCGCACGCGTGAAACGTGTATATAGTTTAGCCGCACGCGTTAATCGACTACACACAACCACCCACCTGCGACGCACATGCATACAGAGCGATAGTTCGTTATACGAGATTACGGAGAACAATGTCCAGGCGCCTGCACGGCCGAGGTCGACGGCGTAGACGAGTAGTAGTAGTAGTAGTAGTAACGCGGGGCGCGTTAAAGCGTGTATACGCGTCGTATGTTCAACGTGTGTGTAGGTAGCTGGTATATATAGCGACGCGCGCCACGTGCAGCCCGAGGCCTAATTAATTTCCGAGCTATTTAAAAGCTCTCCTCGCTCGATGATGCTCGGCGTTGATTTCACGCTCGCGCCCATAAGGTGCGCAGAGAGCAGGCCGACACCGACATCGTCGCACCGCGTGAGGCCTCGCTGCTCCCGTGCGTGCGGTAACGACTCCAGACGCGCCGCGTATACGTGTTATATCCATGGGAAAATTACTCTTGTCTTTCTTTCCAAGTTTTCCTCTAATACTTTCTCTCTCTACTGAACTGTACGCATAGATGCCGTAGCTGCGCGACACAGACTCGATTATCTCTCTCTTTCTCTGCAGCTCCCCGTGTATGTACAGCGTACTGCAACCGACCGGCATCGCTAGCTAATACCGTGTAATTGCCGAGCTCGAAGTACCCGCGTATAGCTCCCTCCCCGTTGCATGGGAAAACTCACCTATACGTATAACCTCCCTCGTTACCAAGCTATACGTAGCTTTGAGTCCCGAACGAATTGATAAAAGCTCGGCAGTTCTTTGACAAACGACGACGAGTGGACGAGCCGAGGGAAAACAAAAAAGTGAAAATTGGAAAGTAACGAGCTTGCCAAATAGGTATGCGTGTGTGCGAGATGAGCGATAAGTACTGACTTTTGACTCCAACTCTACGTGTGCACGGGGGGGGGGGGGTGGTTTTTCATTTTGATTCGATTTCCCCCCATTTACCGAAGAGTGGCTTAAACTCGATATAAATACGGTGACGGATTATAGAGCACGTAGGTGGCAGCGATAGGGGTAGAAACTTTTTGAAAGAGTATTGACATTTTTTTAAATTTATTATATGTAGTATAAGGATCTATTAACTAGATAATACAGGGAATTATTTTGAATTACTTAATTTTAAAACGCTACGAAACTTTCTCGAAGAAATCGTCGTCAAGTTAGAATTTTAAACTGGTTCAAATATTTTTATGACAATATATGAACAGATAAATTGTTAATCCAATTGTAAACAATATGAAAATCAACGATTTTGGCGTAATCACTCGACACACTGATCATGCTTATAGTAAAAACAAATTAGTTTGAATGTTGTCTCTTCCCTTGAAACAAGACACAATACCGAATACATAAATTTTACTCATTTAATTTGCGTAGTACTAAATAGAAAAATCTATCGTTTAATTTAGCATACAAAATGGATAATAGTGAAAAGAAATCTGAAGAAGTTGTCTCAAATAATAATTCAAATGAACACGACAATACTGTTTTAGATGACAAAAAATATGTTTATGATATTTGTCAGGAAGCATTTAAACAAGAGTCAAGCATGATAACACACCGAGATTCTATTCACAATGAACAAAAAGATTACTCATGTGACAATTGCGAAAAGAAATTTGCGAAAAAATCGAGTTTGTTTACGCACCAAAAATTAGTACACAAAGATCGCGAAGATTTTTCATGTAACAAGTGCGAGAGGAAATTTGAAAATAAATCACATTTGCTCAAGCACAAAAAAATATTTCACGAAGTTTTCAAAAATTTCTTATGTGAAAAGTGTGCCAAGAGATTTGGGAATAAACAGACACTGTTCTTACATGTAAAAACAGTTCATGATGGTCGGAAAGATTTTGCTTGTGACAAGTGTGGGGAGAAATTTAGAAAAAAATATCAATTACTTTTTCATGTGAAGACAGTACATGAGGTATTCAAAGATTGCTCATGTCCCAATTGCGGAAAAAAATTTGTGCACAAATCGAGATTACTTTTGCATCAAAAGACAATGAACGAATGTCAGAAAGATTATGCGTGCGACCATTGCGAGAAGAAGTTTGGACAAAAATGGATTTTGATTCAGCATCAAAAGATAGTCCACGAAGGTCGCAGAGATTACGAATGCAACAAATGTGAGAAAAAATTTGGGTATAAACAGCATTTACTTATCCACCAAAAAGCAGTCCACGAAAGTCGTAAAGATTTCGCATGTGAAAATTGCGAGAAGAAATTTAGGGATAAATCAGATTTGATCAGGCACAAAAAGACAGTTCATGAGGGTCGAAAAGATTACGCGTGCGACAAGTGTGAAAAGAAATTTGGAGAACGAGGCAATTTGATAAAACACCAAAAGACAGTCCATGAAGGTCGTAAAGATTACCCATGCGACATGTGTGAAAAGACGTTTGGGTATAAACAGTATTTGCTTATCCATCACAAGACAGTCCACGAGAGTCGTAAAGATTACCCATGCGACAAGTGCGAGAAAAAATTTGGACTAAAACATCATTTAGTCTCTCATCAAAAAGCAGTACACGAAGATAGTAGAGATTACGCATGCAAAAATTGTGAGAAGGCATTTCGACGAAAATCACAATTGTTCTTTCATCAAAAAATAATCCACAAAGATCAGAAAGATTTTGCATGCAACAAGTGCGAGAAAAAATATGTAAATAAATCGACTTTGTTATTACACCAAAAGACAGTTCATAAAAATCGCAAAGATTATGACCTAATTGATAAATCCCCTTTCCTATAGTATTTTCTATCGATCGATTATGAATGCGACAAGTTTGAGAAGAAATTCGGAAAAAAACAGATTTTATCAGGAAGAAATTTGGAGTGAAAAATTATTTGCTTTTTCATCAAATGACAGTACATGAAGGTCACAAAGATTACATATGCGACAACCCTGGTAGAAATGCAACATTTTTTTACCGATAGTGTAACGCTTTTTCTCATAATGGTCATTTGCCATGAATTTGATTTCGCACGCGACAAATTTAAAAAGACATAAATTCTCAGACTTCTGATTTAAAAAAAGTTTTATTGGTGCTAATTTTATTTTGCATAAATAGACAACCAAACTGTACAATGAGTATGTTTATTATGACAATACATTTGTATTGTGAATAAAGTGAATTAATGAAACGCGCTGATTTTTTTCTTGACAATTATAAGTTACTTATATAAATGTTTATCTAAAATTTCAATAAAAATTGTGCTAGTACGATTGTCACTTCATTAAACCTTTGTTCACTGTCATGATTGGTACATTATTTTTAACCATTGTTAGACCGTTTACAATTATTTAATTTAAATTAATAAATGTTGCTCTCCTAATAAAAAAATCCTTTTTCCTATAGTACTTTTATCGACCCACAATAAATATACGTTGTTTTTAACATGTGGCTAAGGATCTCTCTGCCGATGAACTCGCACTCGAGTGTCTTCATTTTAAGTCTTTTTTAATACAATATTTATCGAGCTCTTTCATTGAATAAAAATCTATTCTATTTAATAATTACGAATCGAGGTAAAGTATTGACTTTCTTTGCAGGAATGACACGGATATAGCCAGCAGCGTAAAGAGAAGATCGAGGAAATTAGCCGCACGTGAACAATGGGGCTAAAAAGATAAGATCCAGCGCGTGTCGAGTCGAGCCGAGTCGAGAGCTACCGTTGCCGCTCTCTGTCTCTCTCTCTCCCGCCGATAATCCCGCCCGCGCGCGGTCGAGTGCGGCAAAAGTGTATTGTTATGTCGACGGCTGCAGCGAGGAAGAGGCCGCAATTATCGCGGTGGAACATCGCTGCCGCCTTGTCCATCATCATGGGCCGCTGCTGGATGATGCTCTGCCCGAGTAGCCTTGTCGTGCTCTTCATCGTCAACGTGCCTATAGGTGAGTGCCTTGGATGTTTCATTTTTTACTCGATTTTCACGTACAGCACTTGCGATGAGGCAGGAGAGCATTTGATGGTAAATTTAATTGAAAGACGTGCACGGCTGTGTGTCTTGAAAAACTAAGTTTAATTTAATAAAGCATTTTAATATTTCTATTTAAAGCTCTCAGACACTGAAATACAAAATTATTCATCGGTATATATGGCGTATTACAGAACGGAGAAATATTTAAAGCTTGCATATTTTTAAAATATCCTTATACGAGTGCAATGCTCACCACACTCTCTCTCTCACGAAAAGTCTCTCTCTTTCGCGAGAGAGAGCGAAAAATGATCAAGAGAAGATCCAAGATATATACGTCACGTTCGTGCTAACTCTTGTACATACGTATACCAACGTAGAGAGAGAGACTCTGGAGCTGCTCGGTGATGTAGCGAAGAGGAAAGCTACAGCAGCAGCAGCAGCAAAAAAAACTAATCCGAGTCAAGTTTGTACATTCCCTTCACGTTTCTTGCAATATTTTTTTTCTCTCTCTTTATTTACGCAGGGCGGCGCGCGACTCTCTCTCTCTTTTCCTTCTGCTCGCTGGGAGCTGTAGGAAGCAAGCACAAGGTAGTAGATGCGATTGTTCTTCGAGCTTTGCGGTGTATCTTTTATATATATCGCCGCGCGGGTACAAAAACAACGAGAACTTTTCTCGAGCGAGACAAGCTCGAAAACTGCCCGAGAGAAGTAATGTAATTAATGTCTTATTAAATATTCGCCACCGAGCCGCGGGTGCGCACACAAAAATGGCAACTTGTTAAGGTACTCAGCTCTGCTTGGCTGCCACGAGGAATCAAAATAACACCAAGAGAGCTATAGGTACACACTTTCTATTTAAACAGCAATGGATAGAATATATATACTCGCAGTTCAAAACTAAAATTACGTCAGAGAAATATCTCTTCGGAGATAAAGATCAACCGAGTAATCAACACTTGCAGTAGACGCTTATCAATCGAAGTAGTAGTACGAGTCAATGAGCGGCCAGACGCGTGGTCGGCTGTTGTCGATATCGACTATATATAATACGGACGGTGGTGGCAGCGCATTCATGGAAATCCGATATCATTATGCATGTATACGTTTCTATATTCTATTTTCTGGTTCAAAGATTATTTACAAGACTTCCGCCAGACCGTGTTGGGGGTGACTCGTGGGGCGGACACGGCCAGCGGAAAATTGTGTCTGCTACGAGCAGCAGTAGCAGCAATAACATGGCTTTTGCCTGTCTACTGCAGCGCGTACATTTTCCTTCCTTTCTGTGGACTCTTCTGGCTCTATGGCTACACACACACACTCTCTGCTCCGCCAGCGCTACCCTTTTCTTGATTTTCAACGAAAAGGGTAGGAAAGAGGAGGCAGGAAGAGAACGAGAACGGAGGACGGAAAAGGAGATAAAAGTATTTCTGAAATAAAATTTAGAGAAACGATACGTCGAGCGTCAGAAAACGAATTATGAAAATTAGGTGATTTTTTTTTTTTTATTTTAATTACATGAATGAAAAAGTGATGCTAAAGGGATTTGCGGCTTATAAATCTGTACGGTATTAACAAAATACGCGCGCCAAAAAAAAACCGTAAAGCACCGAGTGCTAAATTGAATAGATAAATTATCCCAGGGCGCTGCGCTTGACCCGTAAGCCGTGCGCGCGGTAGTTGTGTGCGAAAAAAGCTCTCGTGCATCCCTCGAGGGACAAGCGCGTCAGGCAACTTGCACGAAGGAATGGAGGAGTAGTGTACGTATGTATATAACGCGACTGATCGAACGAACAGCTCGGAAATCAAACGGAAAAAGAAGACGGATGGAAAGTGAAAGAGAAAATGTCAGTTGAATGATTATTTGCCGAACTCTATATAGGGTGGCTGAAATCGAGGTAGTTTTATTTTAAACCTAGTAAATGTATGTAATTACAGAAGTACTGTGTCAACTTCCTCGTAATAATCGAGTAAAGGTGTCGGTAATAATACAGCCATAGCAGTTAGAAAAGCAAATGAAATTGTATTTTCACTTAAACGCCTCGATCGAAGAAAACAAGGTGGAATTATAATCTTGGGTAAGTCAGGGATAAGCTACTCCGCGCGCGGGCCGTCGAGTTATATATACACAAGACACGCGCATTGAATTTGGAAAATCTAGTTACAGGTATAGCTCTCGCTCGTAGTCGTTCGCGTTCGTCGTACGTCATTATCATCATCGTGGTACCCTCGGTGTCCTATTCTCGAGTAAATAATTCATGAGGCTTAAACGAATGATAAGCGCTTGATCCCTCCCCTCGAAGCCGCACGTGTATAATAATATTATTTTTCCCAGTAGTAGTAGCAGCAGCAGCAGCAGCAGAGAGCAGCGTAGCAGCTGTAAGTAACAGTTTGAAAGGATATTAATAAAACGGGTGCGATGTACGGAAAACTGCGCGAGCCAGGCAGCAGCGGTATAAATATGAGCGAAAAAAAAACGTCGCTCTCCACGGCCACCGCACCAAGTAGTGCATCGAGGGAGAGAAATCTCGTAGTGCACGCGTAACGGGGTTTTATCATATATCGCGCATACATCGCCATACACAACATCTCTCGAATATACACAGCTGCGGCGAATCTCTCCGACTCCGAGAGTCGCGGGGCGCGCTCAGAGTCACGAAACGCGCTCGACGTCCCGTCGCGTGGCTCGACGTATCCCGACGCGTGGCTATACGTAGTCGTCGTATATCTATATCCACACTACATAGTCTATACGCGAGGCACTTGCGCGCACCGTCGCGAGAGAGATAATGCATTTATGGATAAGTAACCGAAAGCCGCCGCGGTGGTGGTGTGGTACGACTGCCGCACAGTTGTCCCGGGATCTCCCTATCTTGCCGAGCTGGCGCTGGCTGGCACACACTACGGCACGAGTGTGCGCTGTGCGGTGCGCACTTTGCGGATTGCCATTGAAGCAGTGTGTGTGTGTGTGTGCGCGCGCTCTTATGTGTATGTACAGCAACTACATACTTCGCGAGACAGTTGGAAGTCTCTCGGTACGCCTTGCACTATAGATGTATACATATAGTGCATATACCGCGCTCATGCTCAAGAGTTTAGAAGAGCAAGAGAGAGAGAGAGAGAGAACGGCAGACATTCCGTGCGACTTGCGGTGTGCTGTTCTTCGATTCACTGCACGTTATGTCCCTCGACCCTCTCTACACCCCCCCCCCTTCCCTCCTCCTCCCCATCTTTCGGCTGGCTATATATCTATACACACGGCAGCATCAGCTCTTGCTCGTTTCTTCTTACTCTTCGTCTCGGTTATACTACTGCCGGGCGTATATGTATATACTACGTGTGTATGTGTTCGTACAGATCAACTCTCTACGAGGACGAGTTTGCGTGCGTGTGCGGGTGTGTGTATAGCTTGACGCTGCAAGAAAATAGCGACAAAGTGAAAAGGAGATAAAGTCCAAGAGAGCAAGTGTCACGCGCTTGCACGAGCTCTCTCTCTCTCTGGCTTGTCGTTAATTTGACGCAAGCGACGCGCGCAAAGTCGAGAGAGCTGCTCAACCCTCTCCCATCCCACCCGTCCGCATCAGCTGTTCGTATAATATAATAAACAACTATATATATTTCTGTAACTTGTATACTTACACGGTTGCCTTGTATAAATTTACCCATACATGTGTCAAAATTCTGCTCTTAAAACTTTATGGTATAACTGTCGTCTTGCGCGAGCGAGCACGTGATATCCCATAAGTGCGATTCCATATAGAAATAAAATAAATGAATAAATATCTCGAGTCCAACAAAAAACACGCGACGAAAAAAAAGAAGAATTTATGACGTGTAAGCCTCGATGTGACATTTCGAATTAAAAAGCTCGCTCGTATTACGGGATTACATTTAAAAATGTTTTAATTGATTGGCCGGTATAACGAGTATATTCGATTACCTCGTGCCGTTGTTGTTATTCTCTGTATCTATACGGTATCAGCCGGTTAAATTGAGTACTTTATATACGCGCGTACAAAATGAAAAACACGAGTGTTCAGCCTAGGTGTATATAGAAGCCAGTGTGTTGTACGTATGTGTGCACGATATAAAGCGCGAAGCGTGTACGAAACAACAACAACAAAAACGAGGGTAAAAGGGCGCGAAAAGCTCGCGCGTAAACGTGCAGTACGGACACGGGGCGCTAGGCGTAATATTGAAAACAGATGTTAATTTATTAGAGGGATGCAATATACGTGTATATATATCGCGAGCCTCGCGACTCTCTCGCTCGCGATCGGGAATTGCCGAAGTAGTCGCTTGGGGATTCCGCGAGCGAGCGAGCGAGCTTCGCAGCTGCACACGTTGAAAGCGGCTGCTGGCTGGTATGGTGGTGGTGGTGGTGGCGCGCGCGATAAATTTTGCACTCGACGCGCCCAACTGCCGTTCGGGGTCTGTGTGTTTTCGCCCGAGCTATATTCGAGCTTTCCCATCCCCCGAGGGGGCCTCGAGACTCAATTAGAGCCAATTAGCCGGAGGAAGAGAAAAAGATGGTGAGCGAGAGAGAGAGAGAAAGTGCCGAACTGTTGATATAGCAGCAGCAGCTTGTATCTTTCTCGTTCTTCTGTAAACGCACGATGAGAAATTGTATATAGATATATGTATAATGTTTAAAGCGTCCATACCTACGATGTATACATTGTGTATCGTATAGGTATAGCTCTTTTCACGTCCACGCGCAAGATCGAATTGGCCTGGGTATCGATGTTGTATATTATTATATATATCACGTGCCACGCGCGCGCGCGCCGACTCGAGGACTTTGAAAACTCGTTAAGAAAAACGCCTAAGGAATACCGAGTGTATACTCCTTGTTGATACTCGCTCGTTGTTTTTCTCTCTCTCTCTCTCTCTCGTTTCCCTTCAACTTCTTTTTCTTCTCTGCTACCGTTTTTCGTCTATCCTCCGACAGAGCCCAGAGTGTGTAGGTATATATAT